GTAAAGACGAGGCTGTGGAAGCGTTTAAAATCTATAAGACCGAAGTTGAAAATCAACTCGGCAAAAGGATTAAAATTATCCGAAGTGATAGGGGTGGGGAGTATGTAGCTCCTTTTGAACAAATATGTTCTGAATATGGCATAATTCATCAAACAACGGCCCCTTATTCTCCACAGTCGAACGGTGTTGCTGAACGCAAGAACCGTACGTTAAAAGAAATGATGAATGCCATGTTGATAAATTCGGGACTACCCCAAAACATGTGGGGGGAAGCTGTTTTAACAGCAAAATCATATCCTGAATAAAATACCACCTAAAGGGAAAGATAAGACTCCTTACGAAATGTGAAAAAATTGTAAGCCGTCTTATAAGCACCTGAAAGTGTGGGGGTGTTTGGCTAAGGTTTCAGTTCCTGAACCCAAACAAATGAGGATCGGGCCAAAGACGGTCGATTGTGTATTTATTGGATATGCGTACAATAGTATGGCATATAGATTTCTGGTTCATAAATCAGAAAATCCAGAGGTATCTGTGGGTACCACGATTGAGTCGAGGAATGCTATATTTTTTGAGAATATTTTTCCTCTGAAGGAAAGAGCAGAATCTAGTTCTAATAAACGAACATATGAAACTGCCAATGGTTCTGTACCAGATGGTACTGATGAAGAACCAAGACGTAGTAAAAGGGTAAAAATAGCGAAAACGTTTGGACCTGATTTTATTACGTATATGTTGGACGATGAACCGAGTACCATTAAGGAAGCTCTGTCCAGCCCAGATGGACCACTCTGGGAAGAAGCTGTTAATAGCGAAATCGAGTCCATTATGCAAAACCATACTTGGGAGTTGGTTGATCTCCCTGATGGTTGTAAACCTTTAAGATGTAAATGGATCCTAAAGAAGAAATATAAAGCTGATGGATCGATTAAAAAGTTTAAAGCACGATTGGTGGTAAAAGGTTTTAAACAAAAAGAAGGGTATGATTTCTTTGATACCTATTCACCAGTTACGCGTTTAGCGTCGATAAGAGTGCTTCTCTCGATTGCTGCTTTGCACAATCTTGAGATTCACCAAATGGATGTCAAGACGGCATTTTTGAATGGTGAATTGGAAGAAGAAATATACATGGAACAACCTGAAGGGTTTGTTGCACCTGGACAAGAGAGAAAGGTGTGTGGATTGATCAAATCATTGTACGGACTGAAACAAGCTCCGAAACAATGGCATTTGAAATTTGATGAAGTGATGTTGTCAAATGAGTTCAAAATCAACGAATGTGACAAATGTGTTTATGTCAAGGGTACATCAAATACATTTGTGATTGTATGTCTATATGTAGACGATATGTTGATCATGGGGAGTAGCCATGAAGTGATCATGGATACGAAAAGAATGTTGAAAAGAAATTTCGACATGAAGATATGGGTTTGGCTGATGTTATTCTTGGAATAAGGATTATCAGAACCCAAGATGGAATTGTCTTGTCACAATCTCATTATGTAGAAAAAGTGCTCAAGAAATTTGATACCTATGACGACACACAGTCTAGGTGTAAGACACCCATTGATCTTAGTATAAATCTGGTAGCTAATAAAGGTCAACCAGTGGATCAGTTGGAATGTTCACGGATAATAGGGAGTCTGATGTACTTGACGAATTGTACACGACCAGACTTGGCCTACCCGGTGAATAAGTTGAGCAGATTTACGAGCAATCCCAGTCATGAACACTGGAATGCTTTGAGAAGAGTACTTAAGTACTTGAGGTACACCCTTGAATACGGGCTAAAATACTCGAGATATCCAGCCGTACTTGGAGGGTACTGTGATGCAAGCTGGATATCAGATTCGAGAGATTCTCGCTCCACTAGCGGATATGTATTCTGTATTGGAGGAGGTGCAGTTTCGTGGAAATCTACAAAACAAACGTGTATAGCTCGATCAACGATGGAATCGGAGTTCATCGCGTTAGATAAAGCTGGTGAAGAAGCCGAATGACTTAGAAATTTTTTATCTGATATTCCATGTTGGAATAAGACTTTGCCGCCTGTGATGATTCACTGTGATAACTATAGGTAGGGCGCAAAGCAACTTGTATAACGGTAAGTCTAGACATATTTGTCGTAGACATAATACCGTTCACCAATTGATCTCAAATGGTGTTATTTCCATTGACTATGTGAAGTCTAAGGAAAATTTGGCTGATCCTTTGACGAAAGGATTAAATAGAGATCAATTGGTAGTTCTGCTAGAGGGAATGGGCTTAAAAATCCACAATGTAAAGAATGATCATAGTGGTAACCCTACCATGTTGAGTGGAGATCCCACGAACTTGGTTCAAAGGGAAAACTAAGCTATGAAAATTCAGTTGAGCACTTGGAATATATGAATGTCCAAAGCTATTCCCTAGAGCAATCCAAGTGAAAGATGACCTGTTGATTGTGGTGAGGGTAAGTCATATGGGCTTTTAATGAATCCCTAACCTTGTAAAGGTGGAGTATAACAGGATACTCTTGATAGGGAGGTCACCTATATAAGTGTGAAGTGTGGGCCGCTTCAAATGTAAACACTTATGAATCCATTGTGTTGTCCATGGCCAAAACGGACACAACGTTAGAACGGAATGGAGTGAAAAACTCTATTGTGTAAATGTCATTGTCTCGATGTACACTACGGAGGAATAGTTCAAAGCATCATGTCCACTAGTCAGCCAGTGTATCCGATGATGTTTACAAAGAAAGGTTTAAAGCCCAAAGCTACCTTTTCTGATGCAATAGAGTTTTGCGAGGATTGAGCACAATAGTATACATATATTTAATTTACACTCATGTGGGAGATTGTTAGTCAAATGAGTGTATATTTAATTATGTCAGGTTTTGTTTTCTTTTCTCAACCTTCCTAACCATTTCTTAATTTTCCCAACCAAACGTCTTATTTTCTTAAACCTCCTCAACCACACAACACGAATTCCAACCATACCCAACCAATCAACAACAAATTGGGCTAACATCATTCTATAAATTGGGAGAGGAGGTCTCGGCAGAAAGGGAGAAGAAAAGGGAAAAGAAGAAAGAAAGGAAAGAGAGTAAAGAAAAAATAATAATAATAATAATAGTGAGAAAAAGTATAGAAAAATTATCATATAGATATTTTTATTTTTATTTTTAAGTGCTCAATTTTCGACTTCGATCCAGTTCGTCGGAGCTCATCTGGTGTGCTACAGATTTAGAGACGTTTGCCGTTGTATCTTTTGGGAAGTTACGCCGGAACCGTTAGCTGCTACACGGGGCGTATTCTTCAGTTGTAATTTATTTTTCAGTTCAATTGTAATTTTATATTTTTAAATTATTTGTAAGAACTGAAAAAAAAAAATACATATCAGTTCGTATGATTCCCGTGTAATTTTTATACCCGATTATAACAAATGTGTACCTAGGTCACGTCTTATTTTCGTTTGGACATCTATTACTATATAATACGGAGAAGAAAAAATGTTTGAATAAATATTTCATTTCCCGCTTAAACATCATTTTTTCCCTCTCAAATTTTTCGAAAATTACCTGTTTTGGAAACTCTTTTTGAATTTTTTTCATTTATCCCGCCTAACTTAATTTGATTTTGGATGTGATTTATGGAAATCGGATTGTTTTATTTTAGGATAAGATTTGGTTGTTTTTTGTTAAATTTGTTATAATTCCTTTTCTTTAGGATGAGATGAGATTTGTTACCATTTTTTTAAAATTCGATTTGGTACATTTTTAATTCACTCGCTTTTCCTTTTTTTTCACGTTTTATTTCACTCGATTTTCCTTTTTTTTTGATGGGTTGAGATTTGGTAAATTTTGTATTTTTAATTTTTTTAATTTTAATTCACGTTTTTAATTTTAATTTCACGTTTTGAAATTCTTCCTTTTAATTTTTTTTAATCCGATTTTTTTTTTCATTTCAAAATTAATTTTAAACAATTCCACTTAATGTAGATTCTTAACAATATGGTCCATACATATCTGATTTTTTTCCTTATTTAAAAAAAAATCAAAATTAATTTTGAACAGGTCCACTTAATGTGGATTCTTAACAATATGGCCCATACATATCCAATTTTTTTCCTTATTTAAATAAAATAATTCAAAATTAATTTTGATAAAGACTCGATTATTTTTATAACATATCCGATTTTTTTCCTTATTTAAATAAAATTATTCCAAAATTAATATTGATATGTTTTAAAAATACTCCATTATCTTAATAACATATCCAACATTTTTTACTTATTTAAAATAAAATAATTCAGAATTAATCAGATTTTGAAGAGTTTTAAAAAGACTCCATTTATCTTAATAACATATCCGATTGTTTTTCCTTATTTAAATAAAATAATTCAAAATTAATTTTGATATGTTTTAAAATTATTTGATTTTCGTCTAAAATTTTTTAAAAACTATTTTTATTTTTTTATTTTTTGTAAAAAAATGGATGAAAAAGTCAAATTCAAATTAAAAAAATGCTATTTTGAAAAAGATATTTTGTAAATCTAAAAAATATGGTCAACGATATCTTAAATACAACGGGTAAATATGGTCAATGATATCATAAATTATTTTTTATATTCAGAAAGTTCAACTTAATTGATGATTTTTTTTTCAAAAATATGACGATCATATAATTTATCATATATCTTATGTTTATATTGGATGTTATTAGTTTGGTTGATGACATTCATTATATTCAAATAAATAATATGTAATTTTTTTTATTTGGTTTTTCTTTTCTAACAATAATGAGATGTCAAACATAAATAACTATGTTTAATATAAAGTCTTAGAAAAGGTTTTAAGTAAAAAGCTTGTCCGTGCATCGCACGGGATACACACTAATTTTTGAGTGCACTACAACACATTTATCGAAGCATTAATTACTACAAAAATTGAGCATAATCGTGTTCCAATTAGTATTTATACAGTAAAAAATTTGGAATAAATATATAGACCCGTGCCACAGGCCGAGACTCGAGAATGGAGAACAGGGAGGGGCCCAAATACAGCTTTCACGGTTAGACCAGACGAAGAGCAAAATCGTAATTATGCGGGGCACGTGACCGCCGCCAAAGGGACGCTACCATTGTTAATCTTGCTCCGCCTGTCACCTTTCAGAAGAATCTCTTTCGTTTTTCTTCAACGCCCAAATCCCCTTATTAGGTTTTCCTTGCGTTTGCAGTTACCTAATTCTTCAATGGCGTCCTTCGATGAAACTCCGCCAGGCGATTTCAAATCCGTCGATGAAGGCGCTGGCCACAAGCAGGGTATTTTCGTTTATTTTCTTTCTCTCCTGTTATTTTCTAATTAGTCGCATATGCTATTGGTTGTGTGCTCGTGTACACGGCTGTATGTCTATCTGTGTTCTATTCTCGGTGAAGCATGTCATCTTGTATAACTTAACTTAATTTGCCCGGTTCTATTATTGTTCTGTTGGCTGATGGTGTTCCCTTGTTCTTAGTTCTTACGCATAGTATCCTCACGTCTTTGATATTTCCAGGTGCCAACTCGGATGACCTTTTCGGAAGACAGTCAGGTAATACAACTACAACTGGTTATTCTTACTCAGCTGCCACCAAGAACAAGACCATGAACTGGGAAGAGCCTACACTTCATGACTGCTTGCTTAATCATAAGAAGGTACATCAATAGGACCAATGTGTTTGAGAATCGGTTTATAGAATTCTAATCTGGATCTATAAGTACCCACTGTGTGCACACCTTGAAGATATCATTCCATTTTATGTTTATGCTAACAAGACCATGAACTGGGAAGAGCCTACCACTGCTTGCTTAATCATAAGAAGATTTAACTTTTGATTCAAATCCACTGGCCAATAATAAGCGTGCCGTGTGGAAGCTAATAACATTGTGGCCCATTTAGAACGCTTTTTTAATCCCTATAATTGTTGCATCTCAGCCACCATTCTCGTTCCGTGAAGATAATTTTAATTTGTGCTGAAGATGCATGAGGTAGCCTTTTCTGTAATTTGTTCAATTCTTATACAAATTTGGTTTGGATTTTTTAGGATTCTATGGCCGCAGAGGATCTGACGGCTGATTTCTCAGATTATTCCTCAGTTGATTTGGATTCCTCTGAGTTATCGGTAGGTAACTGTGGTAACTCTACTGCAATTGTTAAATTCTCATGTAAAAATTGGGTTGAAAAAGGCTGCTGATGTATGTGTGTGTGTTTGTGTATGTATAATGTTTTTGATACGTGCAGTGTATGTATAATGTTGTTTGTGGCTTTTGATTTAGCCATGATTTTGTAAAACAAATGGGTTTTGCAGGTTACTAATAAGAGAAAATATGCCGAGGACGAGGATGAGGATGAGGATGAGCCGGAATCCCTTGGTGTCTCCTTCTACTTCCAACCTTTGAACCCCCATGCCTTTGATGTATTTTATGAGGTGCAATTTCTCTGTTTTTCTGTTTATTTGTTTTTAAACAAATAGTGTAGAGAAGGTGTGTTGTAATTTATCTCCATTAAAAGTACAATCTTTTATATGTATGTTTATCTTCCAAGATACTAGATATGAGGGGTTTCTTGTTAATAAAATCTTCTTATGTATTTTTTGGTAGACACCCGGCATGGATATATTGTCTGCTAAAGTATTCAAAAGTCTCCCAGAGCTTAAGGAGATGGTGTTGGACATCAGAAAACGTCTCAATGGTGTTTTAAATGGTGAAGTGGACGTGCAGGCTTTTGAAGCAAAAGTAAAAGAACTTTTCAGCAGACCGAATTTCTTAGTGGCGGTTGATGAGTCTATCCTCGAGGTATATTCTAGTGTCATTTAGTGAGCAAAAAACTACCTATTTCTAGAAGGTGCTGTCATTATATCTTTCTTTTTTATTTTACACAGAGTGAATTTTTAGTTGTGCCTTTAGAAGAATATGTCACAACAAAAGACGCCCAAGATCGAATGGTTGACGTTAAGCAGGATCCATCTTTCGAGCCATTTCTAGGATGGACGGAACCACTTGACGTTATAAGGTAAGATGCCTAGTTTGTGAATGTTCGGCGTATAGCACAGAGCCCAAGTATTTAATTTAAGTACCTAATTTTATGGACGGTTTGAAGGGGAACGTTGTGCATCCTGTTCGGGTACTGGAATGATAAAGAGTTCGATCGTATTTTGACCGAGACAAGACAAAAATCTCGTAGACTTAGACTGGCTGCCCAAGAGCGTGATTGGACTCATATTGATATGATTACAGATATTCACTACCCAGCTAATCTTAATGTAAGAGTATATATTATTTTGTTGTCTCATTCACTAATTACCCTGCTAATCTTAACGTAGGAGTATATATCATTTTGTTATGATTTTTCAATTGGAACTAGTCAAGAAATCTTTATAGTGTTAATTTAATTATACAGGGCCTGAAACAAGCGTTGGCCTACAAATACGGTGAAGAGTCTTACTTTTATAAGACTGCTGTTAAGACGGTATATGATTTGACGAATCAGCTCATTCTATCTTTAGCATCTTATATGTAGTCTTGTGTCCAGATTCAATTTTTTTCATGCACGAAACATGTGATTTGTTGTGTGTTTGTGCTGCAGATTGAGGGAAACAAAGCATATTTTGAGAAGAAAGTCACCCCATCCATTCACTTGTTAGGTAGTGCTGCAAAGGGCCATGAGATTGACTGCATGCTAGTTAAGTGGTGTGTTGATGACATCTTTTATTTGTCTGACATTGGTATTCGCGTTATCTTTTAGTTCAAAGTATGTATGGTTTTGTATTTAAATTGCTGGTAGTAAGATGTCTTGCAATATCCTACAATGGTCCTACTTGGTATTTTTGTGCTTATTGTTCTCCGGATCTGAATATGAATTGTGTGCCTGTGCCCACACTTGAAAGAGCAATTTTAATGTTTTATGTTATGGTGATACATGCAGATTGTGGCTTTTGCATCTCTACACCACTTTTTGCTTTATTATGTGCATTATATAAGTTATAACTGACACCAAAATTCCAATATTTTTTGCTTTTGCATCTCTTCATCACTTTTTGCTTAAACATTAGCAAATCGAATTCAAATTTTAGCGAGTCGAACTAAAAATATTATACAAAAATTTATATTTTTGGGAGTCGACTCACGAGCGGCTCGTTTGGTTTATTAGCTCAAGTTACGAGTGACTCTAAGTTGAGGTCAATTCACATAAAATGTCATGTAAAATCATAAACGGATATGTATACATATTGTAAAACCCTTTTATTTAAGATAGATATTTCGTTGTTGGGGTGCGAAATTTGACTCAAGGATTTTGGGAAATTCTCCAAGGAACAATAATTTTGAATAGTAAATGAGGTCGGATGACCGTGAATTTTATATAGTGAAATAACTCGGGTGTTCGGATACAGTTGGAGTTACTTTAGAAGTAGAATTTCAGATTCTAGCCCTAGAAACGGACCCCGACTGGTCGTGGGGACCAGGGACCGCTGAAAAAGAAGCTCGCCGAGGTCCCCCAGGGAGACCTATCGCGCCCCCATCCATCAAGATGGGACTAATCATTATCTTCCCCTCGACAAAGAGATGGAGGAGTGTCTGGGAAAGCTGACCGGGTCCCCAGATGATTGATTTGTCCGCTACAAGTCGGTCATTCACCCCGAACGAATATAATCATGTGTTGGGACCCAATTGACGAGTTTTCCTCCACCATGCTAACCAACCCCCAGCTGATTGAGTATTCGCTGGGGAGTTTAGCCCGAACGATGGTCGGCTTAGTCCAGGAGGCCGAGGAAGCAAAGAGGACCAAGCTGGCTTTTGACGGGATGAAGGATGTCTATGAGATGTGCGAGCCTGCGAGGGGAGGATTCTTTCCTTGAAAGAACAGACCAAGAACCAGACGTCCATCGATAAGGAAGTCGTCGAGCTCACGGAGGAAAGAAGAGGCTGGTCCTAGAAACTGCTAAGCTAACTATTCAGGTCAACGAGGCGACGTCAGCACATGGTGCCCTTAAGCGGAAATACGACTAGGAGGTGATCGGGTACCAGCAGAAGGTCGAGGCCCTCAAGAAAGAAAGGGACGCCTTGCTGGCCAGATGGTTGTTGGTTGTTAAGCGAAAATACGCCCTTAAGCTCTAGGTTTCCATTCATATTTTATGTTGTTATTTTCGCCCTTAAGCTCTCTGTGTTTATGTAATAATTATTGTTGTTGATGGTGTCGTTCCATTCATATTTTATGTTGTCATTGTTTTTGTTTTGTTTTCTCCCCATCAAAACTTACTTTTTCATTCATATTTTATGTTGGTTTTTTTGGAATTTTATTCACTTGATAAATTTTCTTTTTCAATGACAGTGCGTTATTTTTATGAGGAATTTGCTTTAGTGGAAATATTTCTGCTAGTGCTAATGTGACTTTCGTTTTAATTTCTATATAATTTTAGTGCCTTTATTTTCTTTTTCCTTAAATTCATTTTATTGTTTCTAAGTGAACACCCGCTCTATT